TCTTTCTTTCTTTCTTTCTTTCTTTCTTTCTTTCTTTCTTTCTTTCTTTCTTTCTTTCTTTCTTTCTTTCTTTCTTTCTTTCTTTCTCTGCCATGACTTCACTGGGTGACCTGGGCAATTGAATAGATAGATAATAATGCAACACACGATCTATTTCTATTATTGTCTGAATCACTGTATTTTACAAGGTCCCCTCTTAACTTGGTTCCTGCATTAACCCATGGCTGGATCTGCAAAACACACTGATTGATGAACTAAGCAACCTACTTAGGTGTACATAAAACATTAAGCTATACACACAAAACATAAAACCCACATAGGCTAAAACTAAGATTTCTAATTCGTAGGATTGAATATGTCATGTGAACACAAAGCATAACCTAGCCTGAGATTTTTTTTTTTTAAAAAAAGACTCTTGATGGAGTCTGTTGCACAGCCATCAATTTCAAAACAAGAATGACATCCTTTGAGTAGTGGTGCTTGTCATGACAATACCGTCACCTGATCTAGGCCAAACTCTCAATCTTTCCCTCCCAATATCATCTCCATGACTAGTCTATGAGTGGGACCATGCCCTCTTACCTTGCTTGAAGATATTTGATTCTGGAAAGCATGTCGAGATGTCCAGCTGAATATTGCTCGATCACATCCTTTACGTCATAAGGCCTCAAAGTCTCCTTGAATCTCTTCTTATAGAGGCGGAACTGCAGGATCCTGGTCCAAGAAGAAACAGCAGAAAAAGGGGTTCCAGGAGAGCATACAAACAATCCCGGATGTTCCATCTTGAGCTCAGCTGAGCACAGGCCGGAAAACCCATGCATGCTAGAACTCCAGGAACGTTGAGATGGGAACTTGGAATGTGAACTGTCATGCCTAAGGCAGGACTAGAACTCACAATCTCCTGGTGATTGGCTCAAAGTCACCCAGTTAGCTTTCATGCCTAAGGCGGGACTAGAACATACAGTCACCTGGTGATTGGCTCAAAGTCACCCAGCCGGCTTTCATGCCTGAGGCAGGACTAGAATTCACTGTTGCCTGGTGATCGCCTGCATCCATAGGCAATCACTACGTGGCTGTGCCAAGTTGATTTCTGTGGTTCTGTTTCGCGAAGAAATCTCAGTCCTTAGCTGCATTTATGGGTGGTCCTCAACTTACAACCATTTGTTTAGTGAATGCTAGTGAAGTTACAACAGCACTGAAAAAAATGACTCCTGAAGGGTCCTTACACTTATTATAATGTTATACATAATATAATGTATAATATGCTAGTGAAATAACAACAGCACTGAAAAAAATGATTCCTGAGGGGTCCTTACACTTATTATAATATTATACATAACATGCATTATATAATCAACTGGGTAAGATCTATTTCATTCCTACATATTTTAATCTTGTTTTTTATATTTTAAATGTTATGTCATATAGTATGCCTTATTTTAACTGCGGTGCTTCTGACATGAATAAATAATCAACTATTATTATATTCACTCTGTTAATTTATTTTAAAAAAATCCAAAGCAGACCATATAATCATAAAAAACCACGTGAAATAATAAAATCAGCCATTTGTAACAGTAACCACTGATGTGAAATACTTATCAAGTGTTAAGACTTCTCTCAGAGGAAAAACTAATAATACCAAGAACAGCATCCTTATTAATATTAAATGAAAGTGTAATTTATAACCAATAAATGAGATAATAAAAAAACCCAAAGATTTCCCATTAACAATTAGCAGATTATAACAAACGATTCAATTAAGCAATAAGACTACAGGAATCTAGCTAAAAGCCTATTACAATTAATTATTACAGATAATAGATAACAGATAATCAGAGTTGGAAGGGACCTTGTAGGTCATCTACTCCAACCCACTTCCCAAGCAGGAGACCCTACACCATTTCAGACAAATAGCAGTCCAATCTCTTCTTGAAAGTCTCAAGTGATGGCGCTCCCACAACTTCTGAGGGCAACTTCTGTTCCATTGGTTGATTGTTCTCACTGTCATAAAGTTTCTCCTTATTTCCAGGTTAAATCTCTCCTTGTTCGGTTTCCATCCATTATTCCTTGTCTGGCTTACAAGCACTTTAGAAAATAGATTGACCCCTTCCTCTCTGTGGTAGCCCCTCAAATATTGGAAGACTGCTATCATGTTTCCTCTGGTCCTTCTCTTCCCTAGACTAGCCATGCCCAGTTCCTGTAACCATTCTTCGTATGTTTCAGTCTCCAGTCCCCTAATCATCCTGGTTGTTCTTCTCTGTACTTTTTCTAGAGTCTCAACATCTTTTTTATAGTGTGGTGAAAAAAACTGGATGCAGTAGTCTAGTTGTGGTCTTACTAAGGCTTTATAGAGTGGTATTAGTACCTCCCTTGATCTTGATTGTATCCCTCTGATAATACGATTTAGGATTGCATTAGCTTTTTTGGCTGCTGCTGCACACTGCTGGCTCGGATTTAGCTGGTTGTCCACTAAGACTCCAAGATCCCCTCTCACAGTTACTGCTACTGAGCCTGGTTTCACCCAGTCTATATGTGTACTCAGTCTATATATGTGCCATTGCTCATTTGGGTAGATCCAATTGATCAGAAATGTTTTCAACTGTCAAATCGATCTGAAAGCATCTGACCTAATGCATGGAATAGTTTTGATTCAAAGAGGTGGGTTTGATTAAATCCTCTTCAAGTTAAACCTTCAAAACAAACTTAATGTAGCCTTCTTAAGTAGCTTCTTACAAAGCCACCAAGAATAAATGGGGTTTAATTTAATGGACTATATAACAAAAGCATCAAGTCTACCCCAGGTCTTGATTAGTTCCATTTATAATGGAATACGGTTAAAAATTCTTCCCTGTACACTTTTCAAATTGGCTCCTCTTAGCAGGAAGCAGGTAAGGAGGACATCAGCAGATCGAGCCACTTTAGCCATTTAAAGTAAAATCTAATTATTTAAAGCAATTAAATTAGTAGTTAATGTTCCAAAAGCGGTGAACTTAAATTGGTTTAAGCATGAAATGCCTCTCTAACAGATGTTTCTAGTTTAAACCTTGCTTCCAACCTTGCTGGAAGCATTTAGACTATATTCCAAGCCATTTGAGGTAGTTGTGTTGTGGTTTCAGCATGGTTTGGGGGTTGACATAGATTACTTCAATATCAAATTTATTTATTTATTTATTTATTATTATTATTATTATTATTATTATTATTATTATTATTATTATTATTATTATTATT